CTGAAACAAGCCATCTTTGCAGCAAGTTCAGTGACACAATCATGTCCCATTTTAGGGAAATGTTAAAGAGGTGTCAGAAACGGAGGACTGTGGACAGTTATTTTGTGAGATGGGTCCAGTGACTCTCAAGCTGATCCTAGTGGCATTAAAAGACAGAGAAGGGAAGTAACCCCAGAGAGGGCTTTACCTAAAGTCCTCATGGAGGGGGATTCTCCTTCCAAACACTAACCGCAACTCCCTCTCTCCTCCTCCCTATACGCTGTATAGTCCTTGTGGCTTAGCGCTTCTTTTTTTTATTATAATAATAATCCTCCTCCCTATCTTCCAGATGCCATCACCAATCTTCAGTAAAGGTAAGTAAGGTAAGGTAATGTTATTTTATATTTATATACATAATTGAATGCTATAGTATCTGTTGTGTGTATGTAAAACTGTAATTAATTTCTATAAAATGTATTTTTTTGTGAATATTTTTGGGTTTCTGGAACGGATTAATTGTATTATCATTATTTCTTATGGGAAATATTGCTTCGATTTTCAGGCTTTTCAAATTTAAAACTAGCTCCTGGAACAGATTAAGTTTGAAATTTGAGGTTCCACTGTACGTATATACCATCCTATTACACATCCCTCCAAATTGCCAATATCTCAAACCCCTCCTTTAACTCTTTGACTATCGCAAACCCATTTCTGAAACGGTCATTCTATGTCGCAGAATTTTTGGGGGGGGGAAATTTTTTTTTTCTTATGAAATGATAGAGAATCTTTTCCCAATGCTAATGACACCAAAAGTACAAAATTTGAACGAAAACTTACAGAATTACACTCCCGCGAAGTTAGCGATCTCGGCGATATATATGCATTGGCAATTTTGCCGACTTTGAGCCCTATTTTTGACCAATTCCACTGTTCCAGTCGACCAAACTCATAGCTATTTGTTTAGAACTCCATTTTTTCTATCAAATGAGTACAAGAAACTGCCCATTTACCGATTTCAACTACCCAATAAAGTGGTCAGAAATTGGCAGTTTGGCCAATTTCACACAAAAAAAGATGCCAATTTCAAAATAGGGTCCAAAATAAACAATGCAGACATTCTTGGCACTAAAATAATATATCCTCTGTTCATTAGTCATGTCTCCAGGCCCCTCTTATATTACTCTTGCTTTCTATTTTTATTCGCACAAAAAATAGATTTACTATTATACAGACTACTGCATTACTGTAAAAATTGTATAAATAATATCAGTGCACTAGTGAAAGAATATTAGACTCCCCAGTTGACGTGTATTGAACGTGTGGTGTGATTTGTTTACTCTTGAACATTGGTAAAAATTTAACATTTCCATTAATTTAAGCTCAATTTCAAGGTCATTTTCATCATGAATCAAATCAAAATTATCTCTTTCTGTAATATGTTTTCCATTCTATCAAATGAGACCAAGAAAATGAGAATACAATCATAAATAATATACAAAAATACACCTCAAAGTCGGCATTTTAATTTAAAAACATGGTCTTTTTTTTTCTCATGCATTGCGTGCTGCAGGACTTTTTTTTGCACTGCGCACACTGACCACAGACCCATTCTCTCACATGTGGGCCTACCAGCTTTCTCCTGCTTGATTTGAAGCCGCTAGGATTATTGGATATATATACGTACGTCTGAAACACTGGCTCGTAAGACGTAATATACGACCAAAACAGTCAGAGGGTTAAAATGCAGGCATTGTACTTCCTATTTCCAGAACTCAAGTCCAGCTATATAAAAATAACCGGTTTCCCTGAATCCCTTCACTAAATATTACCCTTCTCACACTTCAACAGCTCGTCAGGTCCCAAAAGACATTCGTCTCCATTCATTCCTATCTAACACGCTCATGTGTACCTGTACCTAAATATACTTACACACTGTGCTGGCATGCAGGTACAATTAAAATCATTAAAGGGTCTACTCGACGCCATATAATCTCTTGGGTGCATTAAATGTAGTATATAACATTAATACAGCGGACCCCCGCATAGCGACCTTAATCCGTGCAAGAGGGCTGGTTGTTATGCGAAATGTTCGGTATGCGAATGAATTTTCCCCATAAGAAATAATGGAAATCAAATTAATCCGTGCAAGACACCCAAAAGTATGAAAAAAAAATTTTTACCACATGAAATATACATTTTCCTACACACAATGAGAAGGATACATGCACAATAGTAGAGTAGTACATGCACAATATATATTGTGCATGTACTACTCTACTAAATGAAGAATAAATGACACTTACCTTTATTGAAGATGCAGCAATGACTGATGAGACACTGTGTCCTGGGAGTGCCTTTTCCTCCTGAGTACTGTAGGTCCTGTTTGGCATTTTCTTCCAGAACAGGCCTTATCACACTGTGTATGCCACTACGATTCTTAAATCTCTCAAACCAACCTTTGCTGGCTTTAAAATTCACCAATATGAGCACTAGTTCCAGGCATTTTTCCCTGTTCACCTGGGTGTTAGTCGACTGGTGTGGGTTGCATCCTGGGAGACAAGATTAAGGACCCCAATGGAAATAAGTTAGACAGTCTTCGATGACACTGACTTTTTTGGGTTATCCTGGGTGGCAAATCCTCTGGGGTTAATTGTTTCTTGGTATTCTCAATAAGCCACACCAACAACGGTGCTACAGCAGCAGCAGCAGCTGACGGTGGTACAGCAGCAACAGACGATGCTACAGCAGCAACAGACGATGCTACAGCAGCAGCAGATGATGCTACAGCAGCAACAGACGATGCTACAGCAGCAGCAGACGATGCTACAGCAGCAGCAGACGATGCTACAGCAGCAGCAGCAGCTGTACCACCAATAGTAGCGATGGTTGATTGGGGTTTATTATACAACCTGGCCAGCTCGGAGACACGCACTCCACTTTCATACTTATCAATGATCTTTTTCTTCATATCTATAGTAATTCTCACCCTTATTGCTGTAGGGTTGGCACTTGGGGCCCATGGTCACTTATTTTCCAGAAAAAATCACCAAAAACACTGTAATAATACGAAATGTTCCGATTGCTTGGATGTTACCGCGGAGGCTGGCTGGTAAACAATGCCACCGGTGGAACATGTGAGCGTGGCTCAGGCCGTACATTGGACGCGTCTCGGACGAAGGGCGGTGAGCGGGTTTTTGGGCGGTATGCGAGGCAAAATTTTTGCGAAAACGAGCGGTATGCGGATTGTACAGTATGCGATGCATGCGGTATGCGGGGGTCCACTGTATAGACATTTCCATTAATCCATCTATATTTTTTTTGTTTTTCAAAATTATACAGTAAACACGCTACGTAACGTATAAACATGATACACCAACGGTATAAAAATTGACATAAATGAGATTTGTTTACCAAGCGTTTGCTAGGAAAGTTGAAGAATTGTGTTTTCTCTAATCAAATACCAGTAACTTAACTAGAAATTTATTCTTTTCGTATGCCTTCACTCTATAGCTATTCATGACCCTTGTGGGTTTAGCACTTCTTTTTTATTATGATTATAATAACTTGTAATAATAAGTTGTCAGTGTATCATTCCTTCTAAAAATTACATGAGAATGGAAGTGTTGGTCATTATTTATTCTACTATCAACGTGGAGACAACTTGTACACAATGTATTATTATTATAATCAAGGGGGAAGCGCTAAAAATGTACACAATGTAAAGTGTTTGTATTATGGTATACGTAATACAAACGTGTATGAACGAACACAGACGTGTTCGCCTGGTTTGTTTACGTGTGGGTGGGGGGGGGCAGGGAGGGCTGCCTTGGCTGGCTACTGTACTTCCCAAACCTGAGTTCTTACAAATAAAACTCGCCTCTTGCCCTACATTATGACTACAAATATTTTAAGGTAATTAATGAATGTACTGTATATGTATTTTATCGCTCTGGGGTGCTTTAATTAAATGTCGACTGGCTACCATACCTCCCAGACCTGACTTTCTACGAATAAAACTCTCCTCTCGCCCTACATTAAGACTACAAATATTTTAAGGTAAGTATTTGATGTACTGTGTGTGTTTTATACTTTTTATTGTTTATAATGCCTAGTTCTATTGCTAACATAATATATGTTAGTGTAAACTTGTTATCTGGCACTTACATGCATTTATAAGTGGAAAAAATGGCATTCTGCTTTCTGGCAGTAGCCTGGAGCCTAACTTGCCATACGTTTAAGTGGGGCTCTGCTGTATAGGGAGTCTCTCTCTCATTTACATCTTTCTTTTTCTCAATGAAATGATCCAGTTAATGCAGGGATTTATATAATCCTTTGTGGAGGTTGCGACAAGGTATACGTCAGTGAAACGGCACAAAGCCTTGATTATTATTATTAAAATCAAGGGGGAAGCGCTAAACCCGGAGGATTATACAGCGCCTGGGGGGATGTAGAAGGCATTCAGGCTTAATTCGGGGAACTGGAGCACAGATCCAACTCCCTAAATCAAGAGCCCCCTCACCAACATCAAGGAACCTTCCTTGAGGGGACAAAGCCTTGAAATGCACTGAGTGCACATATCACTGCCCTCAGAAACAACTTTACCAACATATGTACTTTGGAATTTCTCTGACCACCAGAGATTGTGGCAGCTGCATAGTGATAAAAAAAAACAAAATTCTAGCAGACAAAAATGCCTTCATCATTTTTTCTACATTTCAGACACTAAACAATAAAGGCAACTTCATTGCTGAAGTATTAGCACAAGTCCTTAAAAACAATACTCTGCCATCACGTAGCAAGTAAGACTACTACTGTTAGCCTAGGCCAGTAGACCTGCAGTGCTTACATATTTTTTTTTACCTCATTTTATTGCCCTTAAATTTCCATGAATTGTTTACATTGGCTTGACAAAGTTCCTAGAGAGTAAAATGCTGCACGTGAACTTTTGTCTTGTATGTTTGGCACTTGCCTAACGTGTTTTAAGTGGTTTTAAAACCAATCGAGGAGGATATAAAAGACAATTCACAATTTAAAGTGTTTTATGTATACATACAGTACTGTGTAATTAGGCACTTATCAAAGGCCCATGGTCAGAAAATTTAACAATATTGTGGTTTTCGAAGACTTAGTTTTGATAAATTATTTTACATTTCTTGTAGAGAAAATGGTAACATGGGATTTGCACTTTATACAATGTGATTGTATTCAGACGTAACAGCTACCAAAAGTTGTATATTTTTTTTAAATTAATTCATGCAAGAAACAGTACATGCTAGTAGGCAAGTCAGCATTAACTAAAATAATCTGTAATTATCCTTGTTTCAACTCTTATATTGGTTCTCCAAGCAAAGCCTTTTGACGAAGTGAGAAAATCCTGCGGAGGTACTTTTCTTCTCGTTCCTCGGGATCACCAAACAGCTAAAACAAAAAATATATATAGTATTAAGTTTCTTAGCAGATAAACCACGAAATTTAAGATTATGAAGGCCAAAAGGCATTACACAAATTGTACAACTCTGTGTTCGGGGATTTTCTTTCTTGGTCACCCTGCCTCAGTGGGAAATGACAAGTGTTGAAAAAAAAATTCATGTTGCAAATATAAATTAAACACCTGTAGCAGAGAACTTTCCATTAGCTGATATTTTGCTTTTAAATACAGCTTTACCAAGTATGTGATAAAACTAAATTTAGGGTGATATATAGGCTGTATAACACTAGTGGGTTTAGTGCTTGGTTTTAATTATACTGTACATTTTTAACATGTCGGCCATTTCCCAACAAGGAAGGGCTACATCAAAGAAAAAACTTTCATTCATACATAATCACTGTCTTTGCAGAGGCGCTCAGTTATGACAGTTTAGACGTAGCTCCAAACTGCCATTATTATTATTATTGTTATAATCAAGGGGGAAGCACTAAACCCATAGGATTATACAGTGCTTGGGGGAGGGATGGAAGGTATTCAGGTTTAACTCAGGGAACTGGAGCACAGATCCAGTTCCCTAGATCAAGAGCCCCTCACCAGCATCAAGGAACCTTCCTTGAGGGGTCTAAACTGCCAGTATCCCAAACAGCTCCTTTAAAGTGCAGGCATTGTACTTCCCACATCCAGGACTCAAGTCTGGCTAATTGGTTTCCCCACATCCCTTCACAAAATACTACCCTGCTCATGCTTCAACAGCTCATCAGGTCCCAAAAACCACTTACCAATTCACCTAACACACTCCACACACTTGCTGGAATCCAAGCCCCTCGCACACAAAACCTCATTTATCCCCTCCCTCTCGAATCTTTCCTAGGACTCCCCCTACACAGTCTTCCTTCCATAGATTTACATGCTCTCGTCATTCATTTTTTTCCACCCCTCTAAATGCAAACCTCTTTAACCCTTGTTCCAACTTAAAACCTGATGGATTTCCCACACCCAACAGTGCTGTATGACCCTTTTGGGTTTTCTTATGGTTTATTTTTTTTTTTTTTTTTTTAACAAGTCGGTGTCTCCCCCGGGCAGGGGGACCCAAAAAAAAGAAAAAAACCCCAAAAAGAAATACTTTCATCATCATTCAACACTTTACCACACACACACATTATCCTGCTTTTTCAGAGGGGCCAAACAAAAGTTTAGAAGCAATACGTAAGAGAAACACAACATACCCTCCAAACTGCCAATAACCCAAACCCCTCCTTTAAAGTGCAGGGATTGTACTTCCCATTTCCAGGGCTCAAGTCCAAAAAAAAAAAAATGAAAATAACCGGTTTCCCTGAATCCCTTCACTAAATATTACCCTGCTCACAATCCAACGATCCAGGTCCCAAGTATCATTCGCTCCATTCCTCCTATCTAACACGTCATGCACCTTTCTGGAAGTCCCCAAGCCCCCACCCACAAACCCCTTTACCCCCTCTTTCCAACCCTTTCGGAGGATACCCCACCCCCTTTTTCCCTTTCCCCCATGATTTATATGCTTTCCATGTCATTCTACTTTGACCATTCTCTCTAAATGACCAAACCACCTCAAAAACCCCTCTTCTGCCCTCTGACTAATGCTTTTATTAACCCACACCTTCTCCTAATTTCCAAAACTCCGAATTTTCTGCATAATATTCCCACCACACATTGCCCTAGACGGGACATCCCCACTGCCTCCAACCGTCTCCTCGCTGCTGCATTTACCACCCAAAGCTTCACACCCAATAAGAGTGGTTGGTACTACTATAACTTTTTAACATTCCCTTCTTTGCCTCCATAGATAACATTTTTTTGACCCAAAATATACCTCAAAGCACCACTCACCTTTTTTTTTTCCCCCATCAATTCTATGATTACCTCATCCTTCATAAATCCATCCGCCGACACGTCAACTCCCAAGTATCTGAAAACTTTCACTTCTTCCATACTCCTCCTCCCCAATTTGATATCCAATTTTTCTTATTTAAATCATTTGGTACCCTCATCACCTTACTCTTTTCTAGTTCACTTTCAACTTTCTACCTTTACACACATTCTCAAACTCATCCACTAACCTTTGCAATTTTTCTTTAGAATCTCCCATAAGCACAGTATCATCAGCAAAAAGTAACTGTGTCAATTCCCATTTTGAATTTTTATTCCCCATAATTTAATCCCACCCCTCTCCCGAACACCCTACATTTTACTTCTTTACAACCCCTCTATAAATATATTAAACAACCAGGGTGACATTACCATCCCGCAAAGACCATTTTCCCGGGAATATTCTCCCTCTTCTCCCACACCCAAACCCTGACCCCTCATACCTCATAAAAGCTTCTTTACAGCATTTAGTAATTTACCCCTATTCCATATACTTGCAACATCTGCCACATTGCTCCTCTATCCACTATCATATGCCTTTTCTAAACCCCATAAATCAATAAAAATTCCCTACCTTTATCTAAATACTGTTACATATATGCTTCAATGAAAACCCACTTGATCTACACTCCCCTACCCACTCTGAAGCCTCCTTCTCTCCGCAATTCACATTCTTCTTACCTCTAATTCTTTCAATTATAACCCTCCGATACTTTTCCTGGTTTACCAGTAAACCTATTCCTCTTAATTTTTAAATTCTTTTGCCCCTTTCCCTTTAAAAAAGGGACTTCCCCCAATCCCTGGGTCCCTTTCCCCCTCTTCTACATTTATTAAACAAAAGTACCAACCACTCCAACACTATACCCCCCTGCTTTTTAAACTTTTCGTCATGATCCCATCATTCCAGCTGCTTTCCCCCCTTTTCTTTATAACCCCTCACGTACCTCCACCACACTTACATTCTGCCTTCTTCACTCCTAAAAATGTATACCCCCCGGCCATGCATGGAAAAAACTGCCTCCCTTTTTTCCTTAACATTTAAAAAATTCCCAAAATTTCTCGCCATCACCTAATACCCCCTCTCCCCCTTTCTAACTCCCCCCACCTGTTTTTAACTGACAAAACCATACTTTCCCTAGCCTTTTTTAACTTGTTTTTCTCACTCCAAAATTTTTTTTTTATTTTCATTAAAAATTTTTGCAGTGGGCCCCCCACACTTTCATCTGCTCTCCTTTTGCACTCTCTCACCACTCTCTTCACCTTTCTTTTACTCTCCTTTTACTCTGCTCTTCTTATAACACTTCTGCTTTGTAAAAACCTCTCGTAAGCTACCTTTTTCTCTTTTATCACCCCCTTTACTTCATCATTCCACCAATCACTCCTTTTTTTCCCTCCTCCCCCCACCCTCCTAAAAACCACAAACTTCTGCCCCACATTCTAATACTGCATTTTTAAAACTATTTCAACCCTCTTCAACCCCCCCAAATACCATCTTTGCACTAGCCCACCTTTCTGCCAATAGTCGCTTATATCTCGCCCGAACTTCCTCCTCCCTTAGTTTATACACTTTCACCTCCCTCTTACTTGTTGTTGCCACCTTCCTCTTTCCATCTACCTCTTACTCTAACTGTAGCTACAACTAAATAATGATCCGATATATCAGTTGCCCCTCTATAAACATGTACATCCTGGAGCCTACCCATCAACCTTTTATCCACCAATACATAATCTAACAAACTACTTTCATTACGTGCTACATCATACCTTGTACAGTGGACCCCCGCATAACGATGGCATCACATAGCGATTATTTCGCATACCGCTTACTTTAATCGCAAAATTTTTGCCGCGCATACCGATTAAAAACCCGATCACCGATTTTCGTCCGAGACGCGTCCAATGTGCACCCTCAGCCAGCGTCACATGTGCCGCCCGTGCCATTGTTTACCAGCCAGCCTCTGCGCTAACATCCAAGCATACACTCGGAATATTTCGTATTATTACAGTGTTTTCGGTGCTGTTTCTGGAAAATAAGTGACCATGGGCCCCAAGAAAGCTTCTAGTGCCAACCGTACACCAATAAGGGTAAGAATACCCATTGAAATGAAGAAAGAGATCATTGATAAGTATGAAAGTGGAGTGCGTAACGCCGCCCCTAGTCAAGTTGTAAAAGAAACCCCAATCAACCATCGCTACTATTGGGGCACCAAAAAGACAATCAAGGAAGCTGTTCTTGCCAAAGGTTTAACTGTGTTTTCGAAACAAAGATCGCAAGTGATGGAAGATGTTGAGAGACTCTTATTGGTGTGGATAAATAAAAAACAGCTAGCAGGAGATAGCGTCTCTCAAGCGATCATATGTGAAAAGGCTAGGAATTTTGCATGACGATTTAATTAAAAAAATGCCTGCAACTAGTGATGATGTGAGTGAATTTAAGGCCAGAAAAGGTTGGTTTGAGAGATTTAAGAAGCGTAGGGGGCATCCATAGTGTGATAAGGCATGGTGAGGCTGCCAGTTGGGACCACAAAGCGGGCTGAAAAATATGTGCAGGAATTAAAGGGAGTACATAGAAACTGAAGGACTGAAACCTGAACAAGTGTTTAATTGTGTGAAAACAGGCCTTTTCTGGAAGAAAATGCCAAGCAGGACCTACATTAACTCAGGAGGAAAAGGAAACTCCCAGGACATAAGCCTATGAAAGACAGGCTTACTCTTCTCATGTGTGCCAATGCACTGGTGTTGCAAAGTGAAGCCTTTATTAGTGTATCACTCTGAAACTTTCCCCGAGCGTTCAGCAAAAGAATGTCCTCAAGGGTAATTTGTGTGTGCTGTGGAGGGCAAACAGTAAGGCAAAGGGTCACTAGGGAATTTTTCTATAACTGGTTTACACCATGCATTTGCCCCCAATGTGAAAGATTACCTAACTGAAAAGAAATTAGAACTAAGTGCCTCCTGGTGTTAGACAATGCCCCTGGGCCCTCCTACAGACGTGGCAGAGCGACTTTATGGGGACAAGAGCTTCATTAAGTTGAAGTTTTTGCCTCCTAATACCACTCCTCTCCTGCAGCCCATGGGCCAGCAGGGTTTTTTTCCAACTTCAAGAAAATGTACACAAAGCTCTGTTTTAAAGGTGCTTTGTAATGACCTCAGAAACTCAACTGACTCTAAGAGAGTTTTGGAGAGATCACTTTAATATCCTCAATTGTGTTTAAAACCCTTTTAGGTAAGGCTTTGGGGGGAAGTGACTAAGAGGACCCCTTTAACTCTGCTTGGAAGAAACTGTGGCCAGAATGTGTAGACAAAAGGGATTTTGAAGGGTTTGGGGGCTAACCCTGAGAATCCTGTGCCAGTTGAGGAATCCATTGTGGCATTGGGAAAGTCCTTGGGGTTGGAGGTTAGTGGGGAGGGGTGTGGGGAAAAGTTGGTGGGGGAGGACAATGAAGAACTAACCACTGAAGAGCTGATAGATCAACTTCAAGAGCAAGAGGCCAGACCTGGGGAAACGGTTCAGAGGAGGGGAGAGAGAAATTGAAGAAGTTGCCTACTACAAAGATAAAGGAAATCTGTGCAAAGTGGCTTGAAGTGCAAACCTTCATGGATGAAAATCACCCTCACACAGCTATTGCAAACCGTGTTGGCAACCTGTACACGACAATGTTGTGAAACACTTTTGGGGAAGTGATAAAGGAACGAGAGGTACAGGCCACTATGGACAGATATCTTGTGCGAAAAGAAGTCCAGTGACTCTGAAGCTGGCCCTAGTGGCATTAAAAGAAGAAGGGAAGTAAACCCCAGAAAAGGACTTACTACCTCAAGTCCTAATGGAAGGGATTCCCCTTCTAAACACTAACACTCTCTCTTCCCCTCCTCCCATCCCATCAATCATCACCAGATCTTCAATAAAAGTAAGTGTCATGTAAGTGTGCATGCCTTTTTCAGTTTGTGTGTATTAAAATTAATATTTCATGTGGTAAAAAAAAATTTTTTTTCATACTTTTGGGTGTCTTGCACGGATTAATTTTATTTCCATTATTTTTTATGGGGAAAATTCATTCACATAACGATTATTTCGCATAACAATTACCCCTCTTGCACGGATTAAAATCGTTAACCGGGGGTCCACTGTATATTTATTTATCCTCTTTTTCATAAAATATGTATTACTTATTACCAAATTTCTTTCTACACATAGCTCAATTAAAGGCTCCCCATTTACATTTACCCCTGGCACCCCAAATTTACCTACTACTCCCTCCATAACATTTTTACCCACTTTAGCATTGAAATCCCCAACCACCATTACTCTCACACTTCCCCTCAAGGAAGGTTCCTTGATGTTGGTGAGGGGCTCTTGATTTAGGGAATTGGATCTGTGCTCCAGTTCCCCGAATTAAGCCTGAATGCCTTCCACATCCAACCCTCAGGCGCTGTATAATCCTCCGGGTTTAGCGCTTCCCCCTTGATTATAATAATAATAATAATACTCTCACACTTGATTCAAAACTCCCCACGCATTCACTCAACATTTCCCAGAATCTCTCTCTCTCCTCTACACTTCTCTCTTCTCCAGGTGCATACACGCTTACTATAACCCACTTTTCACATCCAATCTTTATTTTACTCCATATAATCCTTGAATTTATACATTTGTAGTCCCTCTTTTCCTGCCATAGCTTATCCTTCAACATTATTGCTACTCCTTCTTTAGCTCTAACTCTATTTGAAACCCCTGACCTAATCCCATTTATTCCTCTCCATTGAAACTCTCCCACCCCCTTCAGCTTTGTTTCACTTAAAGCCAGGACATCCAGTTTCTTCTCATTCATTAACATCCACAATCATCTCTTTCTTATCATTTGCACAACATCCACGCACATTCAGACTTCCCACTTTGACAATTTTCTTCTTCTTATTCTTTTTAGTAATCTTTACAGGAAAAGGGGTTACTAGCCCATTGTTCCCGGCATTTTAGTTGACTTTTACAACACGCATGGCTTACGGAGGAAAGATTCTTATTCCACTTCCCCATGGATATAAAAGGAAAAGTAATAAGACCAAGAACTATTAAGATAAAATCAAAGAAAACTCAGATGTGTATAAATAAACGTGTACATGTATGTGTAGTGTGACCTAAGTGTAAGTAGAAGTAGCAAGACGTACCTGTAATCTTGCATATTTATGAGACAGACAAAAGACACCAGCAATCCTACCATCATGTAAAACAATTACAGGCTTTCGTTTTACACTCACTTGGCAGGACGGTAGTACCTCCCTGGGTGGTTGCTGTCTACCAACCTACTACTTATAATTTTTTTTTTTTTTTTTTTTTTCAACAAGTCGGCCGTCTCCCACCGAGGCAGGGTGACCCAAAAAAGAAAGAAAATCCCCAAAAAGAAAATACTTTCATCATCATTCAACACTTTCACCACACTCGCACATTATCACTGTTTTTGCAGAGGTGCTCAGAATACAACAGTCTAGAAGCATACACATGAAGATACACAACATATCCCTCCAAACTGCCAATATCCCAAACCCCTCCTTTAAAGTGCAGGCATTGTACTTCCCATTTCCAGGACTCAAGTCCGACTATATGAAAATAACCACACCCAAATCTGTTTTTGTTCTTATTCCTTTACTATGAACGTAGGCCACCGCATAGGATGAAAGTGAGATCAGTTAAACAGTTTTCCCGAATCCCTTCATAAGTATTACCTTGCTCACACTCCAACACATCAAACCATATAAAAAAAAAAAAAAAAAAAAAAAAACACTTGCTCGTGTGTAACATGCTCACTTAAGCATGTTGGATGTCCAGTTCCCTAGCACTCAAAAATCTGGGTTGGAGGGGGAGGGGGATTAACAAGATTTTATCAATTCTATGGTCCACCTCATCTCTTGGAGCACTCAAGTCCACTCCACTCCTAATATTTACTTCCATACTCCCTCTCCAATTTTATATGTAATCACTTGGCATGGACACTGGGGTCATCCCACAGTTACTAAAAACAACAGACATAGCCCCACTCCACAAAGGGGGCAGTAAAGCAACAGCAAAGAACTACAGACCAATAGCACTAACATCCCATATCATAAAAATCTTTGAAAGGGTCCTAAGAAGCAAGATCACCACCCATCTAGAAACCCATCAGTTACACAACCCAGGGCAACATGGGTTTAGAACAGGTCGCTCCTGTCTGTCTCAACTATTGGATCACTACGACAAGGTCCTAAATGCACTAGAAGACAAAAAGAATGCAGATGTAATATATACAGACTTTGCAAAAGCCTTCGACAAGTGTGACCATGGCGTAATAGCGCACAAATGCGTGCTAAAGGATAACAGGAAAAGTCGGTCGATGGATCTATAATTTCCTCACTAACAGAACACAGAGAGTAGTCGTCAACAGAGTAAAGTCCGAGGCAGCTACGATGAAAAACTCTGTTCCACAAGGCACAGTACTCGCTCCCATCTTGTTCCTCATCCTCATATCCAACATAGACAAGGATGTCAGCCACAGCACCGTGTCTTCCTTTGCAGATGACACCCGAATCTGCATGACAGTGTCTTCCACTGCAGACACTGCAAAGCTCCAGGCGGACATCAACCAAATCTTTCAGTGGGCTGCAGAAAACAATATGAAGTTCAACGATGAGAAATTTCAATTACTCAGATATGGTAAACATGAGGAAATTAAATCTTCATCAGAGTACAAAACAAATTCTGGCCACAAAATAGAGCGAAACACCAACGTCAAAGACCTGGGAGTGATCATGTCGGAGGATCTCACCTTCAAGGACCATAACATTGTATCAATCGCATCTGCTAGAAAAATGACAGGATGGATAATGAGAACCTTCAAAACTAGGGAGGCCAAGCCCATGATGACACTCTTCAGGTCACTTGTTCTATCTAGGCTGGAATATTGCTGCACACTAACAGCACCTTTCAAGGCAGGTGAAATTGCCGACCTAGAAAATGTACAGAGAACTTTCACGGCGCGCATAACGGAGATAAAACACCTCAATTACTGGGAGCGCTTGAGGTTCCTAAACCTGTATTCCCTGGAACGCAGGAGGGAGAGATACTGATTATATACACCTGGGAAAATCCTAGAGGGACTACTACCGAACTTGCACACGAAAATCACTCACTACGAAAGCAAAGACTTGGCAGACGATGCACCATCCCCCCAATGAAAAGCAGGGGTGTCACTAGCACGTTAAGAGACCATACAATAAGTGTCAGGGGCCCGAGACTGTTCAACTGCCTCCCAGCACACATAAGGGGGATTACCAACAGACCCCTGGCAGTCTTCAAGCTGGCACTGGACAAGCACCTAAAGTCAGTTCCTGATCAGCCGGGCTGTGGCTCGTACGTTAGTTTGCGTGCAGCCAGCAGCAACAGCCTGGTTGATCAGGCTCTGATCCACCAGGAGGCCTGGTTACAGACCGGGCCGCAGGGGCGTTGACCCCCGGAACTCTCTCCAGATAAACTCCAGGTAAACCCTCATAACTTTTTTTTTTACAAAATTTGCTGATAAAACCTCACTCGGTTATTACATCTGCACTCAACACTTAACCTTTTTCTTTTTACTCTCCATATACTCCCTCCATGTATCACTTGTACAATGTGAAAACCTGGTTTATACAAACTTTTTTTTTTTCCCCTTGCCACCCTCTTTACCTTATCCCACTAATTGCTCCTCTTCCACCTTCCTACACCCACAAACTTCTGAATAAGAGGTTGAAAAAATGACTAGGTAATGTTATGAGGAGGCTGTTGAACTGGCCTGGAATTTTACAACTCACTTGCTGCAGGGTCTAATCAGGACAACTTTACCTCAGCATAACCTTGCTTTGATCTATACTTTGCATAGATCGACTACAGGGACTACACTCAGCATATAAGAAATTGTCAATACTTACATGTGGACTGAAAAGACTGTCATCACTAAGTGGAATAAATTTCCCAGCTTTCGCAGTTAATTCTGCTTGAGTTCCAAAGTTAAATTCTCCGCTTTTACTATCAGTTTGCTTTTTTGGTGCCTTGTCACCACGGCTGGACTTGAAGGCCTGCTGAACAAACCCATCTTCTTCGATCTCCTCGACAACCCGGGAATACGCTAATTTCTCAGACTCTGACATATCTGCAATTTAAGATAGTTTATTGTAAAGCAGATTATGAATTAAATGCTTAGCAAATTATCTTTCTGATGAACTGTGTCATACTGAAGCTTAAATGACTTTGGGAAAAGCCCCTAAAAAGAAAACTCTACTGAAAACTATATGTTAATTCAGCATCACAAAAAAAAAGCTGTCATTTTGTTGCTATTGTCTTAAGAATGAAAAATTAAGCAAAAAAAAATCATAAAGGAACAAACAGTAATAAAAAATAACTCAAAGACTGGAATTAAAATTGTAAATCCAGAGAGCAGCGCTGTATGACTTGTGGCTGTTTAGTGCTTAGTTGTATTTTTTTTTTTTTTTTAACAAGTCGGCCATCTCCCACCACTCAAAAACTTTCATCATTCAACACTTTCACCTCACTCACACATAATCACTGTTTTTGCAGAGGTGCTCAGAACACTATAGTTTAGAAGCATACGTATAAAGATACACAACATATCCCTCCAAACTGCTAATATCCCGAGCCCCTCCTTTAGAGGGCAGGCACTATACTTCTCATTTCCAGGATTCAATTCCGGCTATATAAAAATAACCGGTTTCCCTGAATCCCTTCACTAAATATTACCCTGCTCACACTCAACAGATCATCAGGTCCCAAATACCATTCGTCTCCATTCACTCCTATCGAACACGCTCATGCACGCCTGCTGGAAGTCCAAGCCCCTCGTCCACAAAGCCTCCCTTACCCCTTCCTTCCAACCTTTTCAAGGACGACCCCTACCCCGCCTTCCTTCCCCTACAGATTTATATGCTCTCCATGTCATTCTACTTTGATCCATTCTCTCTAAATGATCACACTACCTCAACAACCCCTCTTCAGCCCTCGGACTAATACTTTTATTAACTCTACACCTTCTTCTAATTTCCACACTTCGAATTTTCTGCATAATACTTACACCACACATTGCCCTTAGACAGGACATCTCCACTGCCTCCAACCGCCTCCTCGCTGCTGCATTCACAACCCAAGCTTCACACCCATATAAGAGTGTTGGTACTACTATACTTTCATACATTCCCTTCTTTGCCTCCATAGATAACATTTATTGTCTCCACATATATCTCAATGCACCACTCACCTTTTTTCCCTCATCAAGTCTATGATTAACCTCATCCTTCATAAATCCATCCGCCGACACGTCAACTCCCAAGTATCTGAAAACATTCACTTCTTCCATACTACTCCTCCCCAATTTGATATCCAATTTTTCTTTATCTAAATCATTTGATACCCTCATCACCTTACTCTTTTCTATGTTAACTTCCAACTTTCTACCTTGACACACACTCCCAAACTCATCCACTAACCTTTCCAATTTTTCTTTAGAATCTCCCATAAGCACAGTATCATCAGCAAAAAGCAACTGTGTCAATTCCCATTTTGTATTTAATTCCCCATAACTTAATCCCACCCCTCTCCTGAACACCCTAGCATTTACTTCTTTTACAACCCCATCTATAAATATATTAAACAACCATGGTGACATTACACATCCTGTCTAAGACCTACTTTTACTGGGAAGTAGTTGCCTTCTCTTCTACACACATTAACCTGAGCCTCACTATCCTTATAAAAACTCTTTACAGCATTTAGTAACTTACCACCTATTCCATATACTTGCAACATCTGCCACATTGCTCCCCTATCCACTCTATCATATGCCTTTTCTAAATCCATAAATGCAATAAAAACTTCCCTACCTTTATCTAAATACTGTTCACATATATGCTTTAATGTAAACACTTGATCTACACATCCCCTACCCACTCTGAAACCTCCTTGCTCATCCGCAATCCTACATTCTGTCTTTCCTCTAATTCTTTCAATTATAACCCTACCGTACACTTTTCCTGGTATACTCAGTAAACTTATTCCTCTATAATTTTTACAATCTCTTTTGTCCCCCTTCCCTTTATAATAAATAAAGGGACTATATATGCTCTCTGCCAATCCCTAGGTACCTTCCCCTCTTTCATACATTAAACAAAAATACCAACCACTCCAATACTATATCCCCCCCTGCTTTTAACATTTCTGTCATGATCCCGTTAGTTTCAGCTGCTTTACCCCCTTTCGTTCTACGTAATGCCTCACGCACCTCTCTCACTCACATCCTGTTCTTCTTCACTCCTAAAAGATGGTATACCTCCCTGGCCAGTGCATGAAATTACCGCTTCCCTTTCTTTGTCGACATTTAAAAGTTCCTCAAAATATTCTCGCCATCTACCCAAAACCTCCATCTCCCCATCTACTAACTCCCCTACTCTGTTTTTAACTGACAAATCCATTCATTCTCTAGGCTTTCTTAACGTGTTTAACTCACTCCAAAATTTTTTTCTTATTTTCATTAAAATTTCTTGACAGTGCCTCTCCCACTCTATCATCTGCTCTCCTTTTGCACTCTCTCACCATTCTCTTCACCTTTCTTTTACTCTCCATATACTCTACTCTTCTTATAACACTTCTGCTTTGTAAAAACCTCTCTTAAGCTAACTTTTTCTCTTTTATCACACCCTTTACTTCATCATTCCACCAATCACTCCTCTTTCCTCCTGCACCCACCCTCCTATAACCACAAACCTCTGCCCTACATTCTAACACTGCATTTTTAAAACTATTCCAACCCTCTTCAACCCCCCCACTACTCATACCTGCACCAGCCCACCTTTCTGCCAATAGTTGCTTATATCTCACCCGAACTTCCTCCTCCCTTAGTTTATACACTTTCACCTCCCTCTTGCTTGTTGTTGCCATTTTCCTCTTTTCCCATCTACCTCTTACTCTAACTGTAGCTACAACTAAATAATGATCCGATATATCAGTTGCCCCTCTATAAACGTGTACATCCTGGAGCCTACCCATCAACCTTTTGTCCACCAATACATAATCTAACAAACTACTTTCATTACATGCTATATCATACCTTGTATATTTATCCTCTTCTTCATAAAATATGTATTACTTATTACCAAACCTCTTTCTACACAAAGCTCAATTAAAGGCTCCCCATTTTCATTTACCCCTGGCACCCCAAATTTATGTACTACTCCCTCCACAACATTTTTGCCCACTTAAGCATTGAAATCCCCAACCACCATTACTCTCACACTTGGTTCAAAACTCCCCACGCATTCACTCAACATTTCCCAAAATCTCTCTCTCTCTACACTTCTCTCTTCTCCAGGTGCATATATGCTTACTATAACCCACTTTTCACATCCAACCATTATTTTACTCCACATAATCCTTGAATTAATACATTATATTAATAATTATAATAACAATTCTGCAAATGTGGCAGATGATGCAAGTGTATGGAATAGGTATTAAGTTACTAAATGCTGTAACGAGTTTATATGATAGTGAGGCTCAGGTTAGGGTGTGCAGGAGAGAGAGAGATTACTTTCCAGCAAAAGTAGGTCTGGGACAGGAATGTGTAATGTCACCATGGTTGTTTAACATATTTACAGGTGGGGTTGTAAAAGAAGTAAATGCTAGGGTATTGGGGAGAAGGGTGGGATAAAATTATGGTAAATCAAATACAAAATGGGAGTTGACACAGTTACTTTTTGCTGATGATACTGTGCTTTTGAGAGATTCTAAAGAGAAGTTGCAAAGGTGGAGACAAAGAATGTTATCCATGGAGGCAAATAAGGGAATGTATGAGAGTATAGAGGTACCAACACGGGTTGTAAATTCTGCAGAGAGGAGGATGGAGGCAGTAATGTCTTGCCTAAGGACAATGTGTGTAAATATTATGCAGAGAATTTGTAGTGTTGATATTAGGAGGAGGTGTAGAGTTACTAAAAGTATTATTCAGAGGGCTGTTGAGGTGGTTTGGTCATTTAGAAAGGATGGAGCAAAATAGGATGACTTGGAGGATGTATAAATCTGTAGTGGAGGGGAGGATGGGTAAGAGTTGTCCTAGGAAATGAGGATGGGAGGGGGTAAAAGAGGTTTTGTATACAAGGGGCCTGGATATACAGCATGTGTGAACATGTTAGATAGAAGTGAATGGAGACGAATAGTTTTTGGGACTTGACTAGCTGTTGGAGTGTGAGCAGGCTAATGTTTTGTGAAGGGATTCAGGGAAACCGGTTAGCTGAACTCAAGTCCTGGAGGTGGGAAATACAATGCCTGCACTTTAAAGGAGGGGGTTGGGATACTTCCTGTTTGGAGTGTCATCTGAACTGTCATATCTGCACGCCTCTGTAAAAATAGTGATTATGTGTGAATGATGGTGAAAGTTTTTTTTTTTTTTTTGGGAGGCCACCCTGCCTCGGTGGGAGACGATTGGTGTGTTGAAAAAATGCAAATCCAGACAATATTTTTATACAGTACAGAAAACCCTCTTACAAAGCCGCTTCACATAAAGTGCAATAAAATTTTTAAAAGTGCATGAAAATCTCTATACAGGTACACCACCAATTTTTGGGCAACAAATTGTCTGACACTTCTTAGTCCAGACAAAATTAAGAGAAGGCACTAAATAAAAAAACTTATTTATTACTAAAGTAAGGCTTAAGAAAAGTGTGAGCAATGCACTTGCCATTCACTGCTTCCAGATTATTATGTATTCTGTATTGTGTTACTGTACAAAACTTGTAAGGGTCATTCAGAGTTTGGAAAATGGGAGGTAATCAGGTATGAACTAAGACAGAGAAAGGCAACTCAAACTCCTTGATTCACCAACATCAAGTCACCCAAACTTGAAGGAAAAAAAAAATATAGGAAATATTGGCACAAAAATTGAATAATTAAAATTTCCATGACCCACCTTGTTTTTTTGCAGACGTCACTTCTAGTATGGGACTAAGAGCCTTTTCTTTCTCCTTATCTTTATCTCTTTCTTTATCTTTCTCTCTCCTGTCACGATCCTTTGTAGAACCTCTGCTACTGCGGTCACGATCTATGCTGCTTCTAGCTGACCGTGATTTTGAGTATTTTTCACTGCGTTCTGAATCTGAGCTGGTGACAAAAAAAGAAAGGTTTGAGTTTAATAAAAATCAATTTGTAATTGAAGAGAAATAAGAACTTAAGTCCACGAGAGATGTCAAATGCTCTAACTAAAAAACTGACTGTCGCTTCTGTATGTAAATCAACAGCAGACTCAGAAATGTGTCAATATCTCAATTTAAATTACAATACATTAGGATCAAAGTGGTGTAAGCAATATGTAGAGTTAGGTATCAAAAGATTTAAATTAAAAGAGCATGTCCAACTTAGGGAAGCCTACAAAGTCTTGCTTAGTCGGGTAATATGATGTTTCAAAGTGATAGTGGATGGTATACTGTATATTACCAGGAAATAAACTGACATATTAGCAGTGATAAAGGAACTGGAGTCCTGGAAATGGAAGTACAATGCCTGCACTTTAAAGGAAGGGTTTGGGATATTGGCAGTTTGGAGGTTGACTTTTAAACTGTCATATCTGAGCGCCTCTGCGCTCAGTGACGACAGTTTAAATAATTTGTATGAGTGAGGTGACAGTGCTGAGTGATGAAGAAAGTATTTTCTTTTTGGGTCACCCTGCCTCGATGGGAGACGACCGACGTGTTGAAAAAATAAAAAAATTAGCAGCGATCACAAAAGATCCCAATTTACATGGATGCAGGGTCAAAGAGGGACTACAATACCTGCAGTTTGGACCATTTAACCCTTAAATGGTCCAAACGTATATATACGTTTTTTCAACATCTGAAAATATGTAAAAAATGTAGATCTTCTTTTTTGTTTTACATTTGAAAATGTGTAAAAAAAACTTTTATCTACATTTTTTTTTGTTATATTTGAAAATATGTAAAAAAAAAGAGATTGTAAAAATTATAGAGGAATAAGTTTACTGAGTATACCAGGAAAAGTATACGGTAGGGTTATAATTGAAAGAATTAGAGGTAAGACAGAATGTAGGATTGCGGACGAACAAGGAGGTTTCAGAGTGGGTAGGGGATGTGTAGATCAAGTGTTTACATTGAAGCATATATGTGAACAGTATTTAGATAAAGGTAGGGAAGTTTTTATTGCATTTATGGATTTAGAAAAGGCATATGATAGAGTGGATAGAGGAGCAATGTGGCAGATGTTGCAAGTATATGGAATAGGTGGTAAGTTACTAAATGCTGTAAAGAGCTTTTATGAGGATAGTGAGGCTCAGGTTAGGGTGTGTAGAAGAGAGGGAGAATACTTCCCGGTAAAAGTAGGTCTTAGACAGGGATGTGTAATGTCACCATGGTTGTTTAATAATTTATAGATGGGTTGTAAAAGAAGTAAATGCTAGGGTGTTCGGGAGAGGGGTGGATTAAATTATGGGGAATCAAATTCAAAATGGGAATTGACACAGTTACTTTTTGCTGATGATACTGTGCTTATGGAGATTCTAAAGAAAAATTGCAAAGGTTAGTGGATGATTTTTGAGAATGTGTGTAAAGGTAGAAAGTTGAAAGTGAACATAGAAAAGAGTAAGGTGATGAGGGTACCAAATGATTTAAATAAAGAAAATTGGATATCAAATTGGGGAGGAGGAGTATGGAAGAAGTGAATGTTTTCAGATACTTGGGAGTTGACGTGTCGGCGGATGGATTTATGAAGGATGAGGTTAATCATAGAATGATGAGGGAAAAAAGGTGAGTGGTGCGTTGAGGTATATGTGGAGTCAAAAACGTTATCTATGGAGGCAAAGAATGGAATGTATGAAAGTATAGTAGTAACCAACACTCTTATATGGATGTGAAGCTTGGTGGTAAATGCAGCAGCGAGGAGATGGTTGGAGGCAGTGGAGATGTCCTGTCTAAGGGCAATGTGTGGTGTAAATATTATGCAGAAAATTCGGAGTGTGGAAATTAGGAGAAGGTGTGGAGTTAATAAAAGCATTAGTCAGAGGGCAGAAGAGGGTTGTTGAGGTGGTTTGGTCATTTAGAGAGAATGGATCAAAGTAGAATGACATGGAAAGCATATAAATCTATAGGGGAAGGAAAGGGGGGTTTAGGGGTCGTCCTCGAAAGGGTTGGAAAGAGGGGGTAAAGGAGGTTTTGTGGGTGAGGGGCTTGGACTTCCAGCAAGCGTTGCATGAGCGTGTTAGATAGGAGTGAATGGAGACGAATGATACTTGGGACTGACGATCTGTTGGAGTGTGAGCAGGGTAATATTTAGTGAAGGGATTCAGGGAAACCGGTTTTTTTTCATATAGTCGGACTTGAGTCCTGGAAATGGGAAGTACAATGCCTGCACTTTAAAGGAGGGGTTTGGGATATTGGCAGTTTGGAGGGATATGTTGTGTATCTCTATACGTATATGCTTCTAAACTGTTATATTCTGAGCACCTCTGCAAAAGCAGTGATAATGTGTGAGTGTGGTGAAAGTGTTGAATGATGATGAAAGTATTTTCTTTTTGGTGATTTTCTTTCTTTTTTTGGGTCACCCTGCCTCGGTGGGAGATGACCGACTTGTTGAAAAAAAAAAAAAAAAAATGTAAAAAAAAGTAGATCTACTTTTGTAGCACTACGAATTTGAACGTCAATCTCTTTGGACCGTTTAAGGGTTAAGGGTTAAAGAATATAAAATCTGAGATACTGATTATGTAAAGTTATATTTTTTAAATATTTATATGACTACATAATACATGTGTTATTTTGAATACTTTCAAACACCCTAGCAAGGAAAAAAATAGCATTCAAGATTCTTCACACTGAATACCATTTACACTAGTTACATCAAAGAAAAATAATGTAGCAATTTTTAGTCTTCGTTTCCCTCGCTGACGGCTCTACCTTTGACAGAAATTCCCTCTTTGACTTTTTGTCGGCAACAGACTTATTAGACCAAATCTGATTATTCTTCCTCTAGCACCCCTTACTAACTCTACCTCTGTTATACTCTTCACCCTCATTGATATCTGATCAAGCATATTACATCTTTAGCACACCCTACCCTGCAGTGCTGTATGACCTTATCATTATAATTATAAGTCATAGTTATGATTATCATAATAATTGGATCTTCATTTACCAAATTTTTGTAAATTTCCAGGCAATTTAAACAAAAAAAAAAAAACTTAGTTACTAATCTTCAGTACCTGGAGCTGCGCCTTCTATGCTTGTGTTTAGACTTCTTATGCTTCCGGCTAGATTTGTCTCTTGATCTTGATCTGGATCGAGAGGGGCTGCGGCGACGCCTATGGCGGTCTCTATCCCGATCACGACTTAACGAATGGGACCTACTTGGCATGAAAGGTTAATAAAAAAAATTATATATTCATGAGGCCAAAATAAAATTTTCACTAACGTAGCTTCTATAATTAAAAAAAAATGTTTCTAATTTACTAGTGTGAGAGCACAACACAAGTAAATTGTTAAGATAAATACAAGCTAAAATAATTACAAGTACAATGGACCTTCAGCTAACGATATCAATCCGTTCCTGAGAGCTCATTGTTAGACGAAATTATCGTTAGCCGAATTAATTTTCCCCATAAGAAATAATGGAAATCCAGTGAATCCGTTTCAGACAGCCAAAAGTATTTAAAAAAAAAAAAAAAAAATTCATGAAATATGCATTTCCCTACAAAGAAAACAATGAGGCATGCACAATAACTATATAAATAAATGTTAAAATGACACTTACCTTTATTGAAGAGTACTGATGAGTGATGAGACACTGTTTTTCTTGAACACTCTGGGATTTACAGAGTGATACATGAGTAAAGGCTTCACTTTGCAATCCCCACTAGCATTACAACAAAATAAGAAAGTCAGCCTGTCTTTCATTGGCTTGTGTCCTGAGAGTGCCTTTTCCTCCTGAGTAATGTAGGCCCGTTTCGTCACAATTGAACACTTGTTGGGGTTGAATTTTTCAGCTTCGCCATGCCTTATCACACTGTGTATGCCACTACGATTCTTAAATCTCTCAAACCAACCTTTGCTGGCCTTAAATTCACCAATATGAGCACTAGTTCCAGGCATTTTTTCCTGTTCACCTGGGTGTTAGTCAACTGGTGTGGGTCACATCCTGGGGGACAAGATTAAGGACCCCAATGGAAATAAGTTAGACAGTCCTTAATGACTCACTGACTTTCTTGGGTTATCCTGGGTGGCTAACCCTCTGGGGTTAATTGTTTCTCGTTAAGCCACACCAACACTAGTCTCTCCACATCTTCAAGTAGTACAGCTGACGGTGGTGCAGCAACAGCTGACGGTGGTACAGCAACAGCTGACAGTGGTACGATAGTATTTTGATAGTATTTCTCACCCTTTTTACCACAGGGTTGGCACTAGAAGCTTTCTTTGGGCCCATGGTGGCTTATTTAGCAGTTACAAGCACTATAAACAATGGAATAATACAAAATGTATTGAATGTATGCATGAAACCGGCCACCCTGGCTTGTAAACAATGATGGCAGGGCAGCTGAGACGCTCAGGCTGGACGGACAGGTTCGGGACGAATCACGTTGGGCGAGTTTTTTATCGTTAGCCAGGCCAAAATTTTTATGCTCAAACGCTTCGTTGGGCGGATTTAATGTTATGCGATGCGTTCGTTAGCCAAGGGTCCACTGTATAAGGAAAGAAACAGAAGTAGCCTGCAAAGATAATTTCTGTGCTACTTGATACTTTACTGAACATCTATGCATGCACACTTAGGTAGGAAATAACCAAAATGGTAAAAAAAAAAAAAGAAATATTACAGCTGAACTACTAGAAAATATAAATCTTTGGAATAAATCTTTCAAACATTAACGTTTATCTTTGTCTCTCCTGTCACGATCCTTCATAGAATCTCTGCTCTGCTACTGCGGTCACATCTATGCTGCTTCTAACTGACTGTGATTTTGAATATTTTGAGTACTGTTGTAAAATATAAAATAAGATACAAGAAGATGCTTATAGCAAATCAGTCTGAGGCAAATAATCATAAGAGGCATTGCTCATTTAGACTAAGGAGACAAGGTTGCTAGCTTTGAGTTAATACGGCCTAAGAAGCATAATAAAACCATTGCTTCATAAATGTAATAGGCAGTGTCTCTCACAGCATATTTATATCAGATTGATTTGCCATACACCTCTTCCCTTTATTTTTTTTTTTTTTTACTGAAGACAAACTTTAGATTTGAAAGATCTATGCCAATTATACAGTATACTATTTTCTATTGTGGATCTACTGTCATTTTACATATGGATAAAAGAAATATTAAGTTAACACAAATTGTTAAAAATTAATGAAAAATGCATAAATTAATAAAAATGCTACCCATCAGATTCAGTTATTTATTACATAAACATTGATAAGTAAGACATGCAGAATATAGGTATCTTTATTCCAAAGTGTTTCACCTACACAAAAAGCTTCATTAGATGAATACAGAAGTGACAAATATGAAGCCAGCAGAAGCAATGGAGAGGTAATGATGAATCCTCATGGCTTCTAGATAACCCTTTAACCCTTTGACTGTCGCAAGCCCCTTTCTGAAACTGTCATTCTGTCGCAAAACTTTTGGAAAAATAAAATTATTTCTTCTTATGAAATGACAGAGAATCTTTTCCTGATGGTAATGACACCAAAAGTACGAAATTTGGTCAAAAACTCATGGAATTACGCTCCTGTGAAGTTAGCGGTCTCGGTGACATATACGCATCGGCGATTTCGCCGACTTTGAGCCCTCTTTTTGGCCAATACCATTGTTCCAGTTGACCAAACTCCTAGCTATTTCTTTAGAACTCCATTTTTTCTATCAGTTGAGTACAAGAAACTGCCCATTTACCAATTTGAACTACCCATTAAAGTGGTCAGAAATTGGCAATTTGGCCAATTTAACGCAAATTAAAAAAGATGCCAATTTCAAAATAGGATCCAGAATAAACAATGTAGACATTCTTGGCACTAAAATAACATATCCTCTGTTCATTAGTCACATCTCTAGGCCCCTCTTATATTACTATTGCTTTCTATTTTGATTTTTTACTCATACAAAAAATACAAAATTTACTGTTATGCAGACTACTGCATTATTATAAAAATGGTGTAAATAATATCAGTGCACTAGTGAAAGAATATTAGACTCCCCAGTTGACGTGCATTGGACGTGTGGTGTGATTTGCTTACTCCTGAACATTGGTAAAAATCGAACATATCCGCTACTTTGAGCTCAATTTCAAGGTCGTTTTCATTGTGAAACTAATCAAAATCATCTCTATTTCTATAATATGTTTTCCATTTTATCACATGAGACCATGAAAACGAGAATACAATCATAAATACTATACGAAAATACACCTCAAAGTCGGCGTTTCAATCCAAAGAAATGGTCCGTTTTTTTTTTTCTCATTATGCACTGCGTGCTGCAGGATTTTTTTATGTGGTGCACACTGACCACACAGACCCATTCTCTCACACGTGGGCCTACCAGCTTTCTCCTGCTTGATTTGAAGCCGCTAGAATTTATGTGTATTAATACATCCGAAACACTGGCTTGTAAGACGTATATGTACGACCAAAACAGTCAAAGGGTTAAGTAGTAGCTTGAGGTCGTCAGTCCCTCAGCCTTGAGATGTGTTCAAGACCTTGTAGTTGAAAACATCTCCAGGCTGACAGACTGACTGCCTCAAACTAGTACTCCATAACTGATGGATTGATCACATCTTTACCACCCCACTGTTTGTGTAGGTGAAAAGTTTGAAAATAAAGATACCTAACTGCTGCACACATGTCTTACTCATCTACTTGTCAGTATTATATACCATTATTATATTCATACAAATAGAGTCCTGCTGTGTCTTGTAAGCTAGTTAACCAATAAAAGCATCAGTTAATGGCTCCAGAGATCACTGCCCCTGCAGCCCAATCTCAAATGACTAAATCAAAAGATGCTGCCTATCATATTCAAATATACTTTTTGACAAATTAGATAAATTCACTGAACCAAATTCGTGGCATTAAACTGACCTACGACTGGGTGATGGACTACGTGAGCGACTGTAAGAACGACTCGAAGAATGTCTTCTGTGTCTTCGTGACTTTTTATGATGCCGGTGACGACTTCTGGAACTTGTACTACTGCTACTCCGAGACCTGATGATAATATGTACAGGTTATATATATTTTTTCAAAAAGGTTAAAATTCAAATATATAACTGAAGTGGTAAGTCTAGCAAAATTAAAAGCATACAAATATAGCTCTGTTTACGATACATGCCACTGCTTATCTCAGGAAGGGTTACTACTATTTTTCTGGGTCAGCTTAATATAGTCTAGAACAGCACAGCATTGAAGAAACAACACTGCCTAGGTAAAGTGCAATCACCTTGAAAATGTAAAATAAAATCATCTAGACATTAGAGCTTAGCATTTAACAAAGAGTCACCTCAGAAGCAGTGCAAAATACTTCATTTGTATTTTTGTGGTAAATAGTAATGTTATTTTTTAATTCTAGTGAAGTTTAAATGAGTTAAGTTATATTAATAAGGTTAAGTAAATGGCCAAACCAGCAAAATAGCATTATCTATTCAGGAATCTCACACAATATACACCTTGCAATTAATGTCCTAATGCTGGAAATTTTCCATGAGGTATGACAGAATATGTAAGCAGTTAAGCAAGATATTTCAACCATTGAAAAATGGTACCAGGGCAAATGGGGCACAAGAATGTTTGCAGACTATTGCTGGACATTGGCAAGAGATAATTCTTAAGCCCACTATAAGCGGCAAGCAAAAAGGCAGAGAGTAGGTACAGATTAGAATTTAAAACATACTGACATATTGTATGTTATAATAAAATACATGTATTACATATCTCTATCTTCAAATCTGTAGCCAATAAGCATTTTTCAAGGTGATATATGGATTCAGGACATGAATGTACAATATGTGTCAGTATGTTTTAAACTCTAATCCGAACCTACTCTCTGCGTTTTTGCTTGATGCTTATAGTGGGCTGAATAATCAGCTCTTGCCAATGTCTACAAGCATTCTTGTGCCCCATTTGCCCTGGTACCATTTTTCAATGGTTGAAATATCTTGGTGAAACCTTTTACCATGTTCGTCACTAACTGCCCTACAGTTCACTGGAAAAAGGTCTAGATGTGAATCCAAAAAGTGGATTTTAAATGACATGTTACATCCCATGTTCTTGTAAGCCTTGATGAGGTTTTCTACCAATTCCTCATAGTTGCCTTCCCTTCTGTTTCCAAGAAATCCCTTCACCACTAACTTGAATGCTTCCCAAGCAGCTTTCTCCTCCCCATGAAAGTCTGATTCGAAGTCATCATCTTTAAGAAGCTCTCGAATCTGAGGACCATTAAAGACTCCCTCTCTTATCTTAGCATCACTCAGTATTTTTGGGGGTATAAAACGGACTAATTTATATTATTCCTTATGGGAATAAATTCGTTCGGTAACGGCACTTTTTTCTATCAAATGAGTACAAGAAACTACCCATTTACCGATTTCAACTATTCAATAAAGTGGTTAGAATTTGGCAATTTTGCCAATTTCTGACCAATTGGCAATTTTGCCAATTTTGTGCAAATTTCAAAAGATGCCAATTTCCAAGTAGGGTCCAGAATAAACAAGACAGACATTCCTAGCACTTAAATAACATTTCCTCTGTTCATTAGTCACGTTCCCCAGGCCCCTCTTACATTTCTTTTGCTTTCCACTTCGAATTTTTATTCTCACAAAAAATAAAAGATTTACTGTTATGCAGACTACTGCATTAGTGTAGAAATGGTATAAATAATATCAGCACACTTGTGAAAGAATATCAGACTCACCAGTTGATGTGTGTTGAAGGCATGGCATGATTTGCTTACTTTTGAACTTTGGCAAAAATCGAACCTTTCTGCTACTTTGAGCTCAATTTCAAGGTACTTTTCATTGTGAAACCAATCAAAATCATCTCAATTTCTGTAATATGTCTTCCATTCTATAAAATGAGACCAGGAAAACTAGAATACAACCATAAATACCATACAAAATACCCAACTCGACCAATTATGTAAGTTTATTTTTGTAAGTGCTTTTGTAGGTGTATTTTTAGGGGTCTGAAATGGACTAATCTAATTCACAATATTTCTTATGGGAACAAATTCGGTCTATAACGGCACCCAAACAGACTTCTGGATTGAAATAATATCGTTATGCGGGGGTCCACTGTACAGTGCAAAGTCGCTGTTTTAACCCTTTCAGGGTTTCGGCCGTGCTAATACGGCTTACGCACCAGGGTTTTTGACGTACTAGTACACTTAAATTGTAGCGCCCTCAAATCTAGTGAGAGAAAGCTGGTAGGCCTACATATGAAAGAATGGGTCTATGTGGTCAGTGTGCGCAGTATAAAAAAAATCCTGCAGCACACAGTGAGTAATGAGAAAAAAAAACTTTGACTGTGTTTTTTGGATTAAAACAGCGACTTTGCACTGTATTTTTGTATGGTATTTATTGTTGTATTCTAGTTTTCCTCGTCTCATTCTATAGAATGGAAGACATGTTACAGAAATTGAGATGATTTTGACTGATTTTACAATGAAAAGTACCTTGAAATTGAGCTCAAAGTAGCAGAAATGTTCGATTTTTACCAAAGTTCAAAAGTAAACAAATCATGCTAAGCATCCAATACCCGTCAACTGGTGAGTCTAATATTCTTTCACAAGTGTGCTGATATTATTTATACCATTTTTTACACTAATGCAGTAGTCTGCATAACAGTAAATCTTCTCTTTTTTGTGAGAATAAAAATTCATAGTGGAAAGCAAAAGAATGTAAGAGGGGCGTTGGGACGTGACTAATGAACAGAGAAAATGTCATTTTAGTGCCAGGAATGTCTTTCTTGTTTATTCTGGACCCTATTTGGAAATTGGCATGTTTTGAAATTTGTGTGAAATTGGCAAAATTGCTAAATTCTGACCACTGTATAGGATAGTTGAAATCAATAAATGGGTGGTTTCTTGCACTCATTCAATAGAAAAAATCGAGTTCTAGTGAAATATTAATGATTTTTGTCGACTAGTACAGTGGAATTGGCCGAATTATTATTATTATAATCAAAAAGAAGCGCTAAGCCACAAGGACTATACAGCGCAGGAATTGGCCGAAAATAGGGCTCAAAGTGGGCAAAATCACCGATGCGTAACAGCTAACTTTGCGAGAGCATAATTCCTTAAGTTTTCCATCAAATTTCATACTTTTGGTGTCATTATGATCGGGAAAACATTCTCTATCTTTTCATAAGAAAAAATTTTTTTTTTTTTTTTGAAATTTGGGCAACCCTTTGAGAGGGCCTATCGACCCTGAAAGGGTTAAATAAAAAACACGGTCAAAGTTTTTTCTTTTCTCGTTACGCACTGTGTGCTGCAGGATTTTTTTATACTGTGCACACTGACCACATAGACCCATTCTTTCATATGTAGGCCTACCAGCTTTCTCTCGCTAGATTTGAAGGCGCTAGAATTTAGGCGTACTAGTATGTCAATAATCCTGGTGCGTAAGCAGTACTAGTACGTCGGAAACTCTGAAAGGGTTAATCCCTGACCAGATTTGTCCATAGCTCTTACAAAGTTTTTCATGAGCCCTAGTTTTATGTGTAGTGGTGGTAGCAAAATTTTGTTTGGTTCAATGAGAGGTGGATGTTGAACATTTTTCATCCCAGGCTTCAATGACTGACGAGGTGGCCAGTCACTCCTGATGTAGTGGGAACCTCTTGCATGGCTGTCCCATTCACACAGAAAGCAGCAGTACTTGGTGTATCTGCCCTGCAAGCCCATCACAAGAGCAACAACCCTCAAGTCACCACAGAGCTGCCATTGATGTTCATCATATTTCATGCATCGCAGCATATGCTTTATATTCTCATAAGTTTCTTTCATATGTGGTGCATAGCCCACAGGAACTGATGGTTCACTATTGCCGTTAAGTCCGACAAGTATATTTTATTTTATTAACACACTGGCCATTTCTGACCAAGGCAGGGTGGCCCAAAAAAGAAAAACTTTCAGCATCATTCACTCCATCACTGTCATGCCAGAGGCATGTTTACACTACAGTTATAAAACTGCGACACTAACACCCCTCCTAAAGAGTGTTGGCATTGTACTTTCCATCTCCAGGAATCAAGTCCAGCCTGCCAGTTTCCCTGAATCCTTTCATAAATGTTACCTTGCTTACACTCCAACAGCATTTCAAGTCCTAAAAACCATTTGTCTCCATTTGCTCTTATCTAACATGCTCCTTGCACACGAAACCTCCTTTACCCCCTCCCTCTAACCTTTCCTTGGCCAACCCTTACCCTACCTTTCCCCCACTACAGATTTATACACTCTTGAAGTCATTCTATTTCATTCCATTCTCTCTACATGTCCAAACCATCTCAATAACCCCTCCTCAGCCCTCTGGATAATAGTTTTGGTAATCCCAGACCTCCTCCTAACCTCCACACTACAGATTCTCTGCATTATATTCACACCACACATTGCCCTCAGACATGACATCTCCACTGCCTCCAGCCTTCTCCTTGTTGCAACATTCACCACCCATGCCTCACACCCATACAAGAGCATTGGTACTATAACTAAACTCTCATACATTCCCCTCTTTGCTTTCATGGACAAGGTTCTTTGTCTCCACAGACTCCTCAGTGCACCACTCACCATTTTCCCTTCATCGATTCTATGATTCACCTCATCTTTCATAGACCCATCTGCTGACATGTCCATTCCCAAATATCTGAATACATTCACCTCCTCCATACTCTCTCCCTCCAATCTGATGTCCAATCTTCCAGTACATTAAATTTTCGGTTACCCTCATCACCTTACTTTCTTACATTCACTTTTAATTTCCTTCTTTTACATACCCTACCAAACTCATCAACCAACCTCTGCAACTTCTCTTCAGAACCTCCCAAAAACACAGTGTCATCAGCAAAGTGCAACTGTGACAACTCCCACTTTGTGTTAGATTCTTTATCTTTTAACCCCACACTTCTTGCCGACACCCGAGCATTCACTTCTCTAAAACGCTGGGTAGTTTCAAATTTAGGTTAGATAATTACACGAGTGAGAGGGGTTGGATTTGAGT